TATAGCAACCCACAGAAAATACTTTAAAGGGAACCACAATGAGTTAGATTATTTAATCTATCCCTTGCCTTGTTCCAGAAAGGATTTCAAGTAAGGGGTTAAGAATCAATTACATGGCTTTAATGATCCCTCAATAACTTGGTCCATATGCCACCTATGTGTATTTAGATAATTTACTAAGGTAGACTTTGCATTGGGTGGATATTAAAACCCTGGGTCATTGATGAACTTGGTTAGTTACTTGTAGACATCCCAGCTCTCACTCACAGTGCCGTGACCTGCTTGAACACTAGGAGGTCCCCATTTCTGGGTGTACAAATAGTGTAAGACCTAATAACTAGATATGACTCCTAAATCATATACTTTTGCCACACGTCCCTTCCTGTGTTTGACTGGCTCAAACGAACTGGCTCAAATTGAAGCCCTTAGAAACCTCCTGTACACACTATTCCTGCTACATCCTAAAATATGCTAAGGGTTGGTATGCACCAAATTAGCAGTGCCTTTGCAGGTCTGTGTGCTAGTAGCAGGAGAGGGTTCAGCCCGCCCTGAGTTATTTTGATGCTACTCCTTTCAGTGGTTGGGTGGGACCCTTTTGAAAACATAAGAGGAAATAAATATCTCTTTGGCATATTACATGCTATTTCAGAATCTGGTAACTAGTACATAATTATATGCCATCTCAGAATTTGGCTCTATTTCTTCAAGGGTGTTCATGCTGCATAGCTTTTTTTTTTTTTCTTCCTTCTTCTTTTGGTCAAATGTGTGTATGTACCTCGAGGCAGAATTTAGCCATTAATGTCCACTGAAAGCTGGAGAGAAAGATTACACTTAGCATTTTGGAATGATTTTCCATAATCTATCTAATGTGTTTAAATGGGTTTCATCTCATGTCACTTATTTGTCCTAATTCCTTCAAGTACAGATCAAATACTGACTGTGATACAGACTCGTTCAAGGGCATGGCAGGTGACTATGCCTGGTGGTGAGGGTTTGGAACCGCCCACTCAGAAGGTTGAGGGAATGAATGGAGATAATGCGACTTCCCTTCCTACTTGCTCACCTCTGAGGTCAAGTCATTTGAGAGGAATATCACATCAAACTGTTTTTACACCTTTGATTACTTAAAACCTCTCAAAACTAATGAATTTTAATCATGTCACCAGTGATAATTAAAACCCCAAACTCTGGATTATGCATGTTAGATCAAAAGAACAACAGCCAAAAAGAACCAATTAAAGGCACTTGCCAAAATGCTCGCGGAGTTTGAGGAACAATAACCTTGACCGGGGCCACTGTTGACTGAGATGCAGAGCTGGATCTTAGGATGGTTTTTATGCTACAACTATGAGGCTGGGAAATGTTCCTGTGGTACATTGATGGCTGGCTTCTTAAGGCACCAGGAGGCCGGGTGAAAGAGGAGACTGGTTATCAAAGAAACAGAAGAGGCTTTGAGCATCCCTGTTGATTCAGACAGCTGTAATGTGCAGAAGAGGTGGTTTCCAGAGGGCACCTGAGCGACTAGAACAGGTTCTCCTCAACAGGCTGCCAGGGGAGGAGCGGGCTCTAGAAACACACGTCTACTTCTGGGACAGAAAAACAAGGATGACGTCCAGGCCTGAACAGAAAGAGTCTTTCTTCTTCCGTGACCAAAATCAGAGTCACATTATTTGGCAAAGGCTGACTTCAGAAATAGAAGTAAACCAAGCAATGGGATTGGAAACAATGAAAATACTCTTAAGATCATAATGGTGGTGGTGATGAAGAGTGTCTTTTATTGGGCATGCACCGTGAGCCAGTCACTCTGCTAAGCATCTGACCAGCAATGCCTCGGGCTCCCCAACACTCTGGCAGCACGGGGCCATCTCACATGCCCCTCTGACAGATGAGGGGAGTGAGAATCAACGGCGTTAGTCAGCTGCCCAAGGTCACGATGCTAGAAAGTGGCAGAGCTGGGGTTCGTTGTGTTTACCAGGATTGAGTTACAGTGAGTCACGAAACCCACGTCATCCCCCACAGGCGTAGATGCACCTTCTGTGTTCTGCCCCCACAGTGGTGGCTTCTGCACAGAAGGCAGCCTGTCTGCGTGAGCTGTAGTCAGAGGGATGAGCTCAAGGGGGGGGAGGGGAGTTCTAAGGGGGGGGGAGGGGAGGGGGGGGGAGGTAGGCGGGGAGGGGGAACAGAGGGGTAACACCAAGAAAGAGTGAAGGAGGAAGCCCTGATCCTCCCCCAAAAGGAAGGAATAAGAAGTCACCTGACACGCCTTCAGCTTCAAGACTGCCCCCAGCCAGTTACGTCACATGAACAGAAATTTATTTATAGCAACCTAGCTCCAGGCACATGAATTTGAAAGGGGAAAATGTGGAAGTTCTGAATAAGGGGAGCCCCTGGTGACTGTGAATTACAAGTCCATTCCTCCTCCCCATCCCGTGATGTCACACTCCTTTGCTCCTGTCACTTCAGGTCCCCCCTGAGCAGAAACAACGTCAGCATCAACAACAATGTCAACAACAAAAACATCATTGACATTTACAAATAACAGGAAAACTAGCCCCTGGGTGGAGTAGGGCTGGATTCTTGCTGTTTCTAGGACTGGAAGCCTGGACTTGGCTCTGTCCCTGTGTTCCTTCTCCTCAGCAAAGCTGTGGCTTTGAGAGGTTTAATGTTTGATTTACATAGGAAGACTGCTTGGCTGGATCAAAAGAAAATAATTGGAAGTACCTACCTTGCCACTGGTTTGCTCCCTCCTCCTCTATGAGAGAAGGGATCAGGAACCAGAGGAGAAAAACATTTTTTTTCAACATTGTAAATCATTCCATTCCTCATCCCCTTTTGGTAAAGAAATATTTAAGTCGCATGCATTCTTGGAGAGAATTTTCAAAAAACACTCAGCCCACAAGAATTCTGTTCATCCCACAAAATCTGCCTGGGTCCTGCGAGCATTAGCTAAGACGGGTTCCTCCACTTTCAGCCCATCAGCATTTTCTTGCTCCTTTGATACCAGTAGGTTAGGGTAACACAGACATCCGCTGCATCAGGACACAATGGGCCAAGCCAGGCCTCCTCCCAAGCCGGGGCTCCGGTCACAAGTCGTTGTAGAAGGAACAGAAAAAAAGAGGCCCGTACTTAGCTACACTTCTCTAAGCTCTCCAGCTAAACTCTCTTTGGTGCTTATCTTATTTATTATATAGTTTCTGTCCAGTGTTTTTTGAGTTTTCTGTTTAAATTATTTATGAAAACAAACACGGCCCAGGATTTATCACAGTGGCTTACTGTCTATATGGAATAGTTTTTGGAGATAAGATTAGCTGTGAGAAAGAAAAACAGCCATTTTGGGGTGTTAGCCCTTTCCAGGCAAGGCGGGTGAAACTGCACATTTCTCTTGGGCCACCGTGCGCGAGCCTGGAGGCCAGTGCTTCCCCCGCAACTCAGTTGAGAAGCAGAGTGTAACTGACTCCCTGGTTTCCCAAGTGGGAAATGTTTGGTTAATATCAGGCCATTTCTGTTCTTAACCTTGTAGCATATTAGGCTTTCCCCGTGGCGGGAAACCCTGGCAAGTCCTTCTACATCAAGGAAGGGGATGCTTTTCCAACAGAAGTCAAAAAATGGACTGGTTTGGCTCAGTGGATAGAGTATGGGCCTGCGGACTGAAAGGCCCCAGGTTCGATTCCGGTCAAGGGCATGTACCTTGGTTGTGGGCACATCTCCAGTAGGAAGCGTGCAGGAGGCAGGTGATTGATGTTTCTCTCTCATGGATGTTTCTAGCTCTCTACCCCTCTCCCTTCCTCCCTGTAAAAAAAATCAATAAAATGTATTTTTTTTAAAAGTGCCCAAGAAATCTTCCCTTTCTCAATCCAGCAGGAAGGCGGACATGTCAGGCCTAGTTTAGAAACAATACTGTTGGTCTTTACACCGCCTTTCTTTACTATGATAGTGGATAATTTGGCTCTGGCTGGGCCATGGTGAATCCAGTCACTGGCTCTACAAACCTAGTAGAAATGATCTAAGAAGTTTTACTCTCTGGGGGTATTTAAATCATCAGTTGAAATCCCCATAGCACATGATATTCTTGGGTTTGTCCAGTCCCCGTACTAGAGGAGAAATATTTTGGAAGTAGATTTTCTTTTCATTTTGTTTTTTAAAATGAAAAAAAAATTATTTTTATTATGTTTTTATAACATTTGGGGATTACTTTCCTCCCGGACAAAAATGCAATTCAGTTAACATTAAATGCTAGATACTGGGGGATTCAAAAGATAAGAAATGGTCCTTACCATGAGGGTTCTCACTGATCAGCAGGAGAAACAGGCTCAAAATATAAATATAATAGGGGCAAAATTGCATAATTCAAGCTTTATATGTATAAATGAGCAATTACGTTGGCCTGGAGAAGAGCAGCGAGGCAGGGGAAACCTAAGATGCCACCCAGCTAGTTCCTAATTTGTCAAGAGAACATCCTGTGAAAGGCATTCCCAGTGGAAGGAACAGCATGTGCTAAAGGCCTTGAGTAGGAAAATTCTTCTCCTGTAACAAGGGTGAAATCCAAGGGGACAGAGGAGAGTGGAGGTGAGTATGAAGGAGGAGCTATGAAGAGAAAGAGACCAGAAAGAAACGTTAATATGGTACATTAGGTACTTCCTTCCTTGAGAAGGCAATGGTTGGGTAAATATTTGACAAAATGCCTCTCAGTATGTTTGTTGTTTGAATTTATGAAAGCAATGACTAATATGTTTCACCTGGCATTTTGGGCAAAGGGAAGAGAGAGTGATGCCTGGGCAAGACTGTTCATACTGGTAACAGGTATTCATCAACCCTGCAGATATATATCGTGTGTATTTATTTCATGCTTTATTTCACATTCTTCACAATAGGAAGCATAAAGTTATCAAAGCTAGTCATAGACCCAAGATGACAAAAAAACAACAACCCACCCTCTTTTGTTCTCCAGGCTTGTCTGAGAGGACAGGAATACAGAAGAGACTCAAATGAGAAGAAACGAGATCAATTTGGGGGGCAAGAGACAAATGTGGAGAGAAGCCGGTTATTAAACGGGTCATCTTCCAAACAGGTACTTAGAACTCTGGAAGACATTCTTCTGCTGGTGTGTGTGTGTGTGTGTGTGTGTGTGTGTGTGTGTGTGTTACTTGGGAAAAAGCCCACACAAAAAGGAGATGTTAAAGAATCCTAAAGGTTAAAGGTCAGGGCAGGAAGAGGCAAGGGCAGGAGCTCCCATTCTGGGTACCACCCCCCCGGCCACATGATTTCTCTTCACCCTGTTTCAGCCTCCCTCTTCTTTCCTTATAGTCTAATCTAACCCATTAAACTGCAAATCCAGTTTTTATTTTAAATGAAGAGAGTAAAATGCAATAATAACTGCATCCCATAATAACTAGCCATTGTACAAATATTTGTGTCTAGGATGATAATAGTAAATAAAAAGAGCAATATAATATAATAGCAATATGAGAATGGTGACAATAACAGTAGTAGTGAGAAGTTATCATTATTTGAGTGCTTACAATGTTCACACTGTGCTAGGTACTTTGTACATATTAGCTTATTTAATTTTCTTAAATCTCTATATATTATTTGCCTCACTTTATGGAGGAGAAAACCGAGCCTTAGAAAAGTTAAGAAAATTCACCTCGGATTTTACAGCCAGTACGTGGTAGGGTAGGGATTCTGCTGCAGGCAGTCTGAGCCCAGAGAGGGTTCTCTGAACCACGGAGCTGTATGATCATATTTCATGTGTAAGCGCTTATCTGTGTAAGCATCTTCCTTATCCTATGTAAGCTGAATACCACAAGTGGCATTCAACACCCATTGTTAGCATGGTGAATTGATTTAAGATGAGTAATATGCCTTTTATAAAGTCTTATTTAATATTTTATGCCTGAAACATACTCTAGAGGATGGACTCTCTTTTCTGTTGGCGGTATGGATCCCTGAGATAGGTCCTGGATACCTGATATCAATCAACTTCTTGTTGGGATTTCTTCTCTAATCTAGGATGTTCACACTGGGTTATTTAATGTTCAGAGTACACCTGAAATCATCAGTGATTGATGTTCATGGATGTAGCTGCATCCCTGGGAGAGATCTATACTCCCTATTAGGGAACATACAATCACACGATAAAAGATTTCTCCTAGAGTCTGAGGGTGACAGAGACTAACAATATTGGCAGCCCTGAGAAGAACATGTTGCCTGGATCTTTCCTGTTACTTAAGGACAAAATGTGATGCCTGATGCTGATGAAACTTAGGGAGGGAGGTTAATCCAAAAATTAAATCTAGTCTGGCTAGAACAACACGTTTTTAACATTAAGGTAGCTTCTTATATTTTTGCACTTAGGAACAAAAATCAAGGACAGATTTTTTTTTAAGTAATGTAAATTTAAGTCAAATAGTTAGCATATAGCAATCTCTCTAGATTGGATTTATTAAGCAATGAGCAGCAGGGTTCTTCCATTTTCATGCAAAGACCCAAGATAGTCATGGTTGTTTTGTATGGCAATGCTCATGCAGTTGAAATATTCTAGGACTTGAAGTTTCATGCTCCTCTTCACAAACTTATTTGGGGGACAAGCTGGTAACAGAGTCCTGTCTTTTCTTCTTTAGCTGTAAAAATTATTCATTCTTTAAATCATCATTGCAAAACACTCAGACCACATCTACAAAGGACATAGTTGTCCATAGAAAAGTAATTGTGAAATAAAGACAAAAATAGGTGGTAAAAGTGCTTAAAACTGGCAATTTCTATTCTAAAGTACAAGGACAGGAGTATTCAATGTCAGAGAACTCAAAACAACATTATTTACATAATCCCAATTCTTTCCAGATAATGATATCCCAAGGGTTGGGGCCTTGATTGTACAAGTGCCTTCAAGGTCGCATCTTCTCTATCAAGAAGAGTGACAAAATCAGAATTTTCCACAGTGAAACTCACCCCTGTTTGGCTCTCTGTATGACAGGTATTCCTTGGGGGACACTAGAGGATTTGCCTCTGGATACAAAGGCACAGGAAGGGCAGGGTGAGAGATGTCACCGAACGCAACATTTCAACAGCCATCTGACTTGTGTGCTCATAACGTTGATCCCTCCTGGCTCCATCCTTCAACGTTTGCTGGGTACAAGTGAAGCCAGAGATCCCTTATGAGACTCTAACCAGATCCCAGAAATCCTCAGGCCCCAGGATCATGGTTTGGATCCCAACCTCAATGTCTATGAAGAGCTGGTTGTTCTTAAACCTTCATAGTCTGGGCCTGCCCTGCTATATCTCAAATCCCGGGGGAATGAAGGATGTATCAAAGCTCCTTGTACAGGATTCTCCTTAGCAGGGAGGTCTGGAGCTAGTCTCCCAGAGGAGGCTCTGAAAAAGAACATTGGCACCTCGCCAAGAGAACCCAGGCAGACTGATCCAGTTTTCCGAGCTCGGTGTATTGGAAGCCACATCAGGCACCAGAGTGCAAAAGATCCTTGGTCAGTCAGAAAAGGGCAGGAGGAAGAGCAGCTGTTTAAACCTAACCAAAGCCCTCTTCCCTAGGTGAACATCCTCCCGAGTAATTTCCTTCTAGAGATTTCTGTGCCTGAAAACTCTAAGGAACGTTTTGCCTCTGGTTTCTGAAGGCAAGTTCACTCTAGGCCTGAGTGGGTAGTATGAAAGCGGATTGCTTAATCCATGGACATTTTCCCACTGTGCAGTCATGATGTGAAGCATGCCACTACCAAATTTTGACACGGATTGCAGTTCCCATCACTTAACACATACGTATTGCAATTTGACATGTACTGTAATTCCCATTCCTTAACCCAGCCTCAGACTGTCAAATTCTGATGAGCCTGGAATAAGCGAGGCATTGACTGTCAAGTAGCAGAGGCATTTACCGGCAAGTAATCAAGCTGTAATTTCCCGACACCTGCCTAGAGGTGGGCAGATCCCCAAGTGCACAGTTAACGTGGTAGCCACTGCATTATGACATGACTCCCTCATCACAGCCGGTGGCTTTAAGCTCTGGTCAGGCAGAGCTTGTGTTCAATCTAAATCTAAGATGAAGCAGTGACTTTGGCGCCTATGCTGAGATGTTCTGTGGAGTGGTGCCTCCTGACTACGGTTAGTTGGTGGTGTGGCCTAGAAGAAAGAACACTTCTCACCGAGGGCCAGCTCTGTCCACATTGCAGCGTGAATTCAGGCACAAACCGCGCTCCTTCTAAGCACTTCAGTGTCCCACCAAGGGGATACTTATTATCATGCTTATCTCATGGGATCATTATAAGAACGAGTGAGATGCTTAAATGTCATACTAACATTAGATTACATTATGAATTGCCTTGGTGTTCAACTATTCTTGAAAATGCTACACCAGCAGGTGTCAGTGGAAGGGCAGGTTCTGATGCTTCTAGAATACCTTCTTCCACCTCAGCTCAGCCCCGGGCCAGATTTCTACAAGCCAACCTAAGTGGCAACTTCATTTTAGACCCTTTTCCAAGCTACGTGCAACCTTTTGAACTGTTTAATCAGATTAGAATTTAACAGGGAAATAAATAAACATCAGCTCCACATAACCACCTGGAAGCTGGATGAGTTAGTAGACTGAAAAATGAAGTGGTCTCTCCATATGAGCAGGAACTCATCTCCCCAGAACAGCTGCTGGCCTAGGGGAGCTGCTGCGACAGGGCCCCGGCATGTTCACGGGAAGGGACTGGAGCCCAGATTTCCCCATTGAAAATGATTAGCCCAGGACCTGGGGACGTGAACCTTCTATGAAAACAGACGTCCTGGGCTCTTCTCCTCTTCCAAGATCCTGTATCCTTGCTGGAAGGGGTGTTCAAACCTCAAGGACTGAGGACACATGGTCACTGCATTTACTTCGTTGGCAAAGAAAGTAGAGACAAGATCTCCTTTTTTCAAGAGCACCATTTGCTCTGCTAATAGGACAAGGATGATTGTCCTTTCACCATCATCAACCGAGCAACTAAGTATTTAGATTGCAGGTCACAAGGGCCCAGCCTGACTTTGGAAGGAGGCAGTGCACCTGATCCCAGCAGCAGCTGGCTCTGCCCCAGGCCTGCCCGAGCCAGGGTGTTTACATCAGCGAGATCACCTGGGTCTCCGGGAAAGTGAGGTAAGGCAAAGGTGAAGGCGGTTATGCAACATAAACATTTTCATTGTTCTGGCCATCATACGTTTCTCCACACAAACTTTGGAGGCTACAGTAAAGCCTCTTCAAGCAACCTGCAGTGGCTTAAGAAGTCAGAATATCCATCCAAACATCAAGGCAGCAAACGCCCAGAACTGAGCTGTCCAATACAGTGGCCACTAGCACATGGGGCTATTTAACTTTAAATTTAAATGAATTAAAATAAAATTTAGAAGTCAGCCGTTCCTTGGTCTCACCAGCCACATTTCACATGCTCGGTAGCCACATGAGGTCCGTGGCTGCCATATTGGACCGCGCACATATAGACCATATCCAGTGGTTCTCAACCTTCTGGCCCTTTAAACACAGTTCCTCATGTTGTGATCCAACCATAAAATTATTTTCGTTGCTACTTCATAACTGTAATGTTGCTACTGTTATGAATCGTAATGTAAATATCTGATATGCAGGATGGTCTTAGGCGACCCCTGTGAAAGGGTCATTCGACCACCAAAGGGGTCTCGACCCACAGGTTGAGAACCGCTGATATAGACCATCTGCATCGTTACAGAAAGATCTGGGGGCAGCCCTGCTTCACATTGTGGTCAAGTCCAAAACACAAACAAGACAACACCCCATGGGCCAGGAAGGGGTTTTGTTTCCCAGATACTGGCCATGCATAACCCACAATACAATACTTTGCAGAACAGTAGGCAATCAAGCCAGGCTTGATTTGCATTGTGTGTTTTTCTACCACCTGGGTATATTTGCACAGTTTCTTTCACTACCTATTTATTCAGCCTATCCTGTCTGTGAAATCTTCAGCTTCTCTTTCAAACAGCTCTTAGAGAGTTGTTCTCCCATTAATCTGTCAGTGTCAACCTACCAGCACCCTTAGCAGTGTCACGACAGCAGGCAGGACCCAGCGCGGGCATATGCGTTCCGGGAGTCACACTGTTAATTTTCTCTAACTTCTGCTCATCCACTGTCAGATTCCTGTGGGTCAGGCCTCCCTTCTTCCTGTCCCGAGGCCCCTGTGCGGAGGAGACAGCTCACGCAAGCACACGCTGGTTCTGACTGCCCCGCCTGGGAGGCGGTGAGTCATCTCTAACACCTGGCTCGGTGTTTGTCACAGCTCCCTCTTGACTCTGGCTCAGATTCTGCACCCTCGAGGTTCACCTGAGTAATAAGGCTGCTCTGCCCACAGCGTCTCCAGCCCGAAATGTACCTCACAGAGACGGAATGCACAGCCCACGGTTTGACCACTGCGGGTCTGTGGGAATTTTCATTTGCGTTTGTTTTCCATTTTAGCTGTGGATCTGTTCACCTTGATGTGCCCCAAGAGCCCCTCAGACTCCAGGGACTGGATACGTCATCCTCTGCCCTCAAATTGTTCCTCTTCTTGAATCTATTTCTGCCTAAGGCAGAATTCTGGAAATTATCTAAGAATCCTCCCCCTGCTCCTCCTCACACTTCACAGTAATCAGACTCTGAAGCTGGACTGTCTTATCTCCTCTCTCTTGGATCTGTCCACCAGCACCTCCCTTTCCAGGGTCTGTCTTTTTTGCCTGGATGGTTGTAGGAGTCATTTGCCTGGTCCCTTTGTCTTCACCTCATTCCTTCCCATCAGTCTTTGAGGCTGCAGGATGAATAATCCTCTAGCCTGGCATGGTTCAGTGGTTGAGCGTCCACCTATGAACCAGGTTGAGCGAATCATGGTTTGATTCCCAGTCAAGGGGTTGCCCGTTTGATCCCGAGTAGAGGGCGTGCAGGAGGCAGCAGATCAATGATTCTCTTTTATCATTGATGTTTCTGTCTCTCCCTCCTCCTTATTATCTAAAATCAATAAAAATATATTTAAAAAAGAAAAAGAACGATCCTCTAGAAGCAAATTGGATTGTGTCATTCCTCTATTAAAAATTCTTTAGTGGCCCTAGCTGGTTTGGCTCAGTGGGTAGACTTAGAGCGTCAGCCTGGGGACTGACGGGTTTTGGGCTCAAATCCCAGTAGGGGGCATGCAGGAGGCAACTGATCAATGATTCTCTCTCTCCCTTTCCCTTCCTTTCTGAAATAAATTTTTTTAAAAAATTTTAATAAATTCCATTGTTCTTTGGGATCATGTTCAAATACGCTAACAAGGTACTCAAGACCCTGATGACCTGACCTTCAATTCTGAGGGCACCTCCTCTGGGAAGAATTTCCAAGGCTTTTCCTGGGGGGTCGGGTGACTGCTCTGTCCCTCCTTTGTATTGCCATCACACGTTCTGGGTTCAAATCTACCTTACGGTACACACCTTCCTCTCTGCCTCTACCTTAAGCTAGCACTGCTCAAGAGCAGGAGTGTTTATTGTCGCATTCCCAATGGCCACCACAGAGAAGGAGCACAATGAATGTTCAATGGCTGACAGTTGCCAGGGTGTTGTAGGCATGAGCACATGTTGAGGTCAGAGCGCCAAAGCCACAGCGGCCACAACAGGACTCCTCCCCCTGCGCGGGAGCAGAAAGGTCATGCTGTTACGTGGAGGAATGAACGCTCCCTGACCTGGCCTGAACTTGTTGAGAGGTCAGTAGTCTGGTGAGGCTGCCCGTGTGCAGTGGCCCGTCTGGGCTTGAAGATTCGTCCATTATCATCAACACCTTGGAAACCTCCGCCCTGGAGAGAGCATGCCTGTCCTGGCCTACCGCTCTGCAAAGGGACAGCTGGCTTCTGTAAGCTCTGGCAGTTCCTTTTGTCCCGGGTGGGCATGCACACAAAGACACAGGACAGCTGGGTGGCAGCTCTCCGCCGGCCGAGGAAGCTCAGACGGGCCCACAGTCGACTGGGGATTCACTGTCCTTCGAAACAGAAGTCGTCTTACTGTGACTGGACGTTCCGCCGGATCACTCTCCGGACTGCGTTGGATCTTTCTCTCATGATAAGATTGTAGATAAATTGGAATGGCTGGTGCGCAGGCCCCTCTGTGGGCAAAGCTTGCTGGCGACTGCCAACGGCATGAGTGGAGCGAAGGGATATTATTCCTGTGTCCTGGGCAAAGCCAGCGGTGCTTCATTTCTCCTCCGTTTCTGCACTTCATCAGAGCTCCAGGAGGCGATTTTAAAATAGGGCATGGCAGTAAAATGGGGCAACTGTCAGGTTAAATGGCAGCTGCTTCCAGAATACTGTTCTGCCTTTTTCAGCAGATAAGACAGCCCAGAGTCAATCCTTGCACCAGGGTGATTCTGCCACCAGCCTGCAATGCAAACACCTATTCTTACACCCCCCCCCCCTTTTTTAACTGCTGGAGCCCGAGATTGGTGGCCTCTGACGGGAAGAGTCCCCTGTGTTAATTGAATGCAACGGCTCAGAAATTGCATGAGGGAAGATTATTACATGAAGTGGCTTTTTCTCCCGTTTTCTGTGGTGCTATGCATTTCAGTTTACCACATTTTATTTTTAAACATCCCGTTTTAAAAAATGATTCTGATTCATTTTTAAAACCAAAAAAAACTTAAGAACCAATTAAAATTCAGATATCAAAATTTAAAATGTTTTCAGCTGCGAGGTATTATTATTCCGCTGCATACCTGCCTTGAACGTGGTTTACCGCATACAGCATTTCATCCTGGAACCTGGTTGTTTCGTTTTCATATGGCTTTATTTGTTAAGGAATTATAACCCTTTTGTGTCTGAGACGCTGTGCTGGGGGCTAGGGGAGGCGGCAAGGATAAGCCCCGCCCCCGCCTCAGGGCGCTCAGCGGGGTGAAAGGCGACCTCACACAAATGTCTGCGGTTCAGGACGGTGTCTGCTGAGCGTAATAAAAAGGCAGCGGGAAAACTCCACAGCGGATGCAGATTTTCAGCTGGACCTTAGTCACCGGCAGGATTTGGGGAGCTGAGGTGGGGGGACCTGGCGGGTGGATGGAAGAGCCTAGGAACTCGGTGGAGAGCTGGGCACATTTGGAAAAGGGTGAGCCATCCAGCCGCCCTGCAGCCCAGGAAATGGCATCAGACCCCTGTTCAGAGCCCCCTCCCTGGAGGGCGCTGTTGGCTTCCCTCCTGCACCCCTTCCTTAGGCTCAGGAGGCACGAGGGCCCACTGAGGCTTACGCTGTTTTATTCCACCATCTCCCCTGCCCCACCTCACACCTCCATCATCCTGTTGTCTCCTGGCCTCTCTCCCTTACTCAGTGGAGACTCTGTGGCTCCATCTCTGGGGCCCCATTGCCTGATCTCCCCCACAATCCTACACCTCTTCAGCATCTGCCTGGCGAATGCAGCCACACCCTAGCTTCTCAGGTCCCAGTGCCTCTTTAGTGCCCCCTCCCCTCATAAGTGCCCCCTCTGTTTCAGTCTGCCGTCCCCGCCACCAACAGCACACCCTCAACTACATCATCAACCGGAAGTTCTCCATCTCCAGAAACCTACTGCTGAGCAGCACCAGCCTTCCAGCTCTCCGTCCACCCACGTCCGCTGCGCCATCTCTGCCACCTCTTGGCGCCTCTCCCCGTGCCCTCTCGTTGTTCCTAAGCAGCCTAGATTCTGTGTGTGATCCTCTTGGTTTCCCTGCCCTTTGTCTTTTTTTCCGCACCTCTGCCGAAGGCCTGCCCATCCACGGTCTCTGGACCCCGCACCCAGGCCACTGGCGGCAGCTGGAGAAAAATCACCCAACCCTGAACAGTGCTGCCCTGAGAGGTCACAGCCACCAGCCTCCTGGAACTCCTCAGTGCTGCCCAGTCTCCCGGGCCAGCTCTCTTCCACTTCAAACCTTCTTCTATGTCCCGTCTTCAGTGTCTCGGTCCTCAGGCAGAAGCTTCCTCAGCTCAGAGCTGCCCACCCCACCGACCTCCTCCCCTCATTCCCACCTCTCCGCCTGTGCTCAGGAGCCCACCTCCTAGCTCTCTCAGGACCCTTACTCCACCCGTCATCCTTTCCCTGCCGGATCTCCAACTCTGTACCAGAGGCTTCCATCAGCATTTAGTCATGATCTAAGGTCTCCTACAAAAACT